ATATATATATATTCGTTTTCATGCATGTCACAATTTTTCTTTTAAAAGAATCAGACATTTTCAATGCAACATGCGGATAACAACCCCTATTAAGGAAAAAAATAATTAGTTAATGACTTTTGTAGAGATCAATCTACATTCAAATGAGTTATGATAATTTAACGAATTCCACGGATTCAACATTATCAAGAATCGGTCAAAAGCGTTTTTATTTGGAACTGATGGGAACCAAAACGGTAAAAAACCGGAACCAGATATGTGTATTAATGAGAACCGATAATTGACTCGACGAATACGTACGAACCAGGACCGATCCGGTGCCGGTGGGTAGCTCACTCGTAGTCTTTTATCTCATTTTATTGTTTTTAGACTCGTGTATAAAAACACACATAAAGGTGACAACTGATGACACGACACGAAACGAAACTTAAATTCGAATTCTTGTTCGTGTCAGGTTTGTGTTAAGTGTAAAAGACATGACGTCGTATCGTATCGTTTTAGTGTTCAAAATTTGACACGAGATTGACACGATTTAACATTTTTCTGTTGTGTTTTTCGTGTTTGTCGTGTTATGTATGATTAAATATTAATTAAATAAAATAATTTTTATCATATGTTGTCTTTGTTGTGCTATGTCGCGTTTTTCGTTTTTTAATCAGTTCGTTTTCGTATTAGTTAAAAAATACAACATCATATCATGTCTTGTTAATATTACTTAAAACCGTGTGGTGTGGTATAGTGTGAGACAGAAACACATCATAATTTACCAAATTACCACCCTAAACACCCATACAAATTAACTTTTTAGAATTTCTGAATATCGATATCCATGCATCATGTGTATTCGTATCTTTTGAACATTCTCTCTCCAAAATTCATGAGTCTCTTCGCGCGTGTGTATGTGTGAACTTTTTCTCTATTAATAGGAGAAGAACCACGAACGCCCCAAGAACAGCCACCACCATGCCAGTGTCGTTTGCTCCAAGGTAATATCTCGATTCAACTTTGCATCAATTCTTTCAAAATCTAAATCGGGTTTATGATCAAATAACCATAAGAAGAAGATCACATTTTACTTTCAAAATCTGCAGTTCTCAACCTGGTATTCTTGATAAAATGACGAAGAGTGCAGAAAAACCAAACAGGTATGCGAAAAGATACAAAAAGAACCGACATTTGTCCAGAATTTCACATGGGTATTTGATTAAAACACTAAAGACAACATTTTTAATCTTGTTTACCACAGTCAACATGGAGAAGACAGTGATTCACGTCGGCTGTTCGTCGTGAAAGGCCATTGGAAGCCATCGGAGGACCGTAAATTAAAAGAGCTTGTCGCTCTTCATGGGCCGAAAAACTGGAATATGATATCGGAGCAACTTCCTGGAAGAAGCGGTGAACTTTTTTTTTCAAATAATTCATCGATTGTATACATATGTTTTTATTCTTTTTGATTATTTGCGCCATGTAATGCTGAATTCAGGGAAGAGTTGCAGGCTCCGATGGGTGAATCAGTTAGATCCACAAATAAAGACGACAGTGTTCACTAGAGAAGAAGATGAGACGTTAATGGCGGCTCACATGGTGTTCGGCAACCAGTGGTCTCACATCGCTAAGTTCTTTCCTGGAAGAACCGATAACGGAATCAAGAATCACTGGCACGTTTTGACATCCCGGCGACGGAAACACATCGCTGGCGTTTCTTCTTCTTCTTCTTTTCGTTGTGTTTCAGGTGATAGTACCAATGGCAGTTCTGGTAGTACCATCACTCTCATGGGGAAATCAACTGTGATCAACGAGGGTACAAGTATGTTATGCATGAATACACCCGATTCAGGTTAGACACATTATAAATTATGTTCATTATAACTTTTTAGAAAAAAATGATATATTTTAAAAAATATATATTGATCAACATATCAAAACGAAAGGTATTTATAACATTGGATGATCATTAATTGATCATCTGTATATATTTATGATGAACCACCGATTTATTCTAAAAAAATGAATATTTTGTAGAATTATTTTAATTTGTAAAACTAATTTTCTAGCTACCTTTTTGCAAAATATGAATAATTTTGTAATTTTTTTTATGAAATTGTTCATATTTTAAATGCTGAGCTTTTTTTTTTAACTAAACGCGATGATTATTTTCTCACAGCTTCAAAAAAAGATGATATTTTGTATTTGTCATTTTAATTATTACTATCTCTATTTTCATGGCTCTTCTAGCCATTTAAATATGATGTTTCTATTTTTAGCATGTTCGGTAGATAAAATCATATTTAAAGATAACATTGATTATTTATTTATTTATTTATTTTACCAAAGATTGGTATGAATTGGCTTACACTAAAACTGAAATTAAATTGGAAAATAGTTGAAATGAAATCCTAAACAAGGAAGACCAAAACATTTTTTTACAACTCATTTTAGCAAAAGTTATTATTGTTTGAAGTTATATTAATATACTTGTACCTGATCATATTTACTATCTTTTGTTTTGCAGTGTGTAGTGGGGAAGAGATTAAGATGTCACTAGCGGTGGCCGATGGTGTTGGTAGTGGTGGAACCGGTGGTTACTGCAATGAAACAATGGAGACAGATGGTGGTTATATGGCGGAAGTCCGTCTCTCATTCACTAATCCTCCCAATGACATTAACTTGAGCACCGCAACAAGCAGTCATTTAACTACCATTCAGACCACCACCAATCAACCGCTACCACCACCGTTTATTGACTTTCTTGGAATCGGGAACTGAGGTTGTTTTATTTTAGGGTTAAGAACTTGTTAATTAGTAGTAATGTGTATGTTGTTTTGTTTTAATTTCTTTTTTAATTTAGTGAACAATATATATGTATGCGATGATGTTGTCTCAGTTATAAGTTATAACCGACTTCGAGTAATGGTGTGAGTGGGTTTAACATTATCGTGTGAGAGTTGTACGAGGTGTTGTAACTGAAAGAAAAGAGAAACAAGGAGCATAAAACAAGGTGCACGCCCTCCCTCAAAATTACCACATGAAGACACATAATAACATAACAAAAAAGAGAATCTCTAGAAAATAGAAACAATGACACATAAAACGTGTTTGTATTGTGGGCCACGTTTCATCCCTAAAATCTTCTTCGAACAATATGTTTTTATTAGGTACTTTGACTGATTAATGTTTCTTTTCTATCTAATGAGACTGGAACTTAATTTTTTTTTTTTAAGGAATGTGCAGCCAAGTCCCAAAATTTTTGTTCGGTGTTCTGGTCATAAATTAATTGTTTTTTTATTTTTTTAATTTTTTTATATAAAAAATGCATAAAAGAAGGTAAAATGTTGCATTCAGACTCTATTTTACCGATTATAACAGATAATAAATTAATTTGTAACTATTTCGTAAACGTGAAATATTGAAAGTTTTCATAAGAAAA